ACATCATGTCACAAATATGTATGTGCATTTGTTTCATGATCTCATTAACGATAGCCAAATGGCGGCCGCTTTAAGGCCGAAAATACATTGAAATCGCACATTTTCACCATTCCGGACCCGGATCTCAGTTATGCATGGATGGATTTCATTCAAATTTGGTACATACATTAAACATAATAGGACCTTGATGCACGTCATTTTTTTTTTCGGATCGGGTTTGAAATGGCCGACTGGCGGCCATTTTGTTAAAGAATTCAGTTCTGGATCCGTATCCAAGACATGTCTGGATTGATCAAGTTCAAACTTCACACACACATGGTACATCATGTCACAAATAGATATGTGCATTTGTTTCATAATCTGCTTAACAATGCATCAAAATCGCGTATTTTCACAATTCCAGAACCGGATCTCAGTCATGCATGGATGGATTTTGTTCAGATTTAGCACAATGTGTTGTACATATGCAGGTGCATTTCGGTCATGATCTGCTTTGAATGTATATGTCACTCAAATATGAACGAAGCGGGGACGTGTCATTGACAATGACTTGTTATTATCATAGAATTGTGTTAAATCATATCAAACCTTATATATATTATGAAAGCTCATAATTCACATTAATTAAATGCAGCCTTCATGTGGTCACATGACTGCTAAATAAATAAACCCTTTATTGAAGAGGACTGTGAAGAATACAGAAAGAATACAACAATTTGTTAATAAAAAATGTAGAATTAAATGTGAGAAACATAAAAGCTACTGTTTTTGATAACTTTTTTTTTCTTTCAAATTACTATTTTTGCATTTTATCAGAAATTTGTTGCTATGTTTTATTTTCTATAACAACTATTTGTTCAAATGAATTGAAATTTGTTGTTTGCCAACTACTTAAGCAATAATCCACTCTAAATTATGAGTACCAGCAGGAAACTATAATGCTAAGTTTATCCTGAGAATACCGCAAAGTATGCACTCAGGCAGCACAGGATTGCTATGTATCAGTCAATATGATCACCATATTGCCCTCGTTCATACTTTGCAGTATTCTTTCTATAACTTTATAGTATTTTTGTATATACTTCATAAAATAACTAAGTTTGTTTTCTATATATTTTAGGAATACTGTGGAAGTTGTGAGAATTTTGCACCAATCATAATGCAAGTAATACATTATATGTATGACCAAATGGAAATATTGCAGGAGTCTGTTATACTATCATGGTATAACCAGACGTCATCATCAGATGAACCACATACTAGAATGAAACATCAAGAAATTAGAAAACAGGTATGAGATCTCACAATGTGGATTTATTACATGCATAGACCACTGAATATGGTCCCTTTCATCCTTTGAAACCCAGAGAATTAATTTAGTGAGGAATTTTATGAGGTGAGGTATTATATGAAGTGAGGTATTTTATGAAATTAGGTATTTTATGAAGTGGGGTATTTTATGAAATGAGGTATTTATGAAATGAGGTATTTTATGAAATGAGGTATTTTATGAAGTGAAGTATTTTATGAAATGAGGTATTTTATGAAATGAGGTATTTTATGAAGTGTGGTATTTTATGAAGTGAGGTATTTTATGAAGTGAGGTATTTTATGAAGTGAGGTATTTTATGAGGTGAGGTATTTTATGAAGTGAAGTATTTTATGAAGTGAGGTATTTTATGAAGTGAGGTATTTTATGAGGTGAGGTATTTTATGAGGTGAGGTATTTTATGAGGTGAGGTATTTTATGAGGTGAGGTATTTTATGAGAGGTATTTTATGAGTGAGGTATTTTATGAAGTGAGGTATTTTATGAGGTGAGGTATTTTATGAAGTGAGGTATTTTATGAGGTGAGGTATTTTATGAGGTGAGGTATTTTATGAAGTGAGGTATTTTATGAAGTGAGGTATTTTATGAAGTGAGGTATTTTATGAGGTGAGGTATTTTATGAGGTGAGGTATTTTATGAAGTGAGGGATTTTATGTGGTGAGGTATTTTATGAGGTGAGGTATTTTATGAAGTGAGGTATTTCATGAAGTGAGGGATTTTATGAAGTGAAGGATTTTATGAGGTGTGGTATTTTATGAGGTGAGGTATTTTATGAGGTGAGGTATTTTATGAGGTCAGGTATTTTATGAAGTGAGGTATTTTATGAGGTGAGGTATTTTATGAAATGAGGTATTTTATGAGGTGAGGTATTTTATGAGGTGAGGTATTTTATGAGGTGAGGAATTTTATGAGGTGAGGAATTTTATGTGGTCAGGTATTTTATGAAGTGAGGTATTTTATGAGGTGAGGTATTTTATGAAGT